ATGCTGCACATGGTCAGAAACATTGGACAATTTCGACCTTGCGACAGTAGGGTTTGATCACACGGCAGTTGGACTTGAGATGCAATGGTCCCACTGGAACTATAAACAATCTGCCACTGCAAAACAATCATCAGTCGCCTATGACAGAACCAAGATTGGTCAAGCTTGTTTCTTTGAGGATATTGTGACTCATGAAGCGGTGCCGTGGAGCACTGATGTGGAAAGACATGTACAAGATTTGAATGACCTTTTGCATGGACATTTGAAAAGCAAATGCGGTAGGAGTAAAATGCCTTTCAAGAAACCCTTTGTCACTCGTGACATCTGGGAGATTCGGAATGCAAAACTTGCCCACCGCAGGCAGCTTAAATCTGTCCAGAAATTGCTTCGTCGTGAGGCGCTTGCCAGAATTTTTCTAGCCTGGAAAGAAGATCAAGCTGATGCCCTGACCCTTTCCTTCAATTTTGGGTGCACCCTTCTCAGTGGTGGTTTGAAGCATGCAGTTGGACTCATTTGTAGATCCAGACAATTGAAGTGTGCTTTGAAAAAAGCCAAACAGCAAGTTTTGGCTGATAAGTTTGCGCAGTTCACTCCAGATGTTTCAGCCTCATTTGTCTTGCATACGCTCAAGCCATTTGTTGGATCGTCGAATGCACTGAAGAGAGGTCCGAAGCCACTGCCATTTGTTTATGATTACACTGGTCAGCCATGTGAAGGGCCACAAGAAGCGCTGCGTCGTTGGATTGAGTTTTTCATGCACATGGAGGGAGGCTTTCGGGCCTCGGCACAAGCTCAGCGTGACCGGTGGATTGCCAACATGGCCAAGTCAAGTGTTCAACATGATGATATTCCTATTGCTGAGGTCCCATCGCTGATTGACCTTGAAACTGCAATGAGGCGCATTAAACCTGGTAAGGCCACGGGGCCGGATCTTCTGCCGGCTGAACTGTTTCATTTTCATGCAGCAGCTGTGGCGAAGCAAAGTTATGCCCTCTTTCTCAAGACAGCAGTACAAGCTCAGGAACCTTTGGTTCACAAAGGGGGCTGGCTGATGCCCCTTTGGAAGGGAAAAGGTGATCAGGCTCTGTGTACCTCCTATAGGTCTATACTGATCAGTGCACATATGGCCAAGGCCTTTCATAGATCGTTGCGCACGCGGAATGCCTCTATCTATGAAAGTTTCATGCAAAACCAGCAGATTGGTGGCCGCCGTGCCACACCTGTAGGTTTGGGCATTCATCAAGTGAGGGCTTTCCAACGTGCACATGGTGGGCATTCCAGACCAGTAGCTTGTATCTTCTTAGATTTGGCTGAAGCGTTTTATAGGATTGTCAGGCCACTAGCGATTTCCGGTGAGGTTACTGATGAGCTCCTTGCGAATGTTGCTCAGCGTTTGAACTTTGATCACAATGCCTTGGCGGAACTCCATGCTCTGATGCTGGGGCCTAGTGCACTTGATGATGCAGGAATGCCAAGCCATGCCAAGCGTGCGGTCTGTGGTATTCACCAGGACACGCACTTTGCGTTGCATGGACAGGTTGACAGATGCGTCACTACCATTGGTAGCAGACCAGGTGATGCCTGGGCTGACATTGTGTTCGGCTTCCTTTGGGCCAAGGTTTTGCATCAATTGCAGGAAGCGATGAGAGATCTTGGTTTTCTTGAACTTGTACCGGACCAAGACAAACCCAATCTCTTTGCAACAATTGCATCCAGCGAGCCAACGGTTGGTTTCCTGGGACCTTGCTGGTGTGACGACCTGTGCGTGTGTGTCAGTGCAGATGACATGCCGAGTCTCACGAACAAAACTGGCACAGTGGCCGGAATTCTCATTGACCTTTGTTTGAAGTTTGGAATGCTTCCTAACCTTCAGAGAGGCAAAACTGAGATTCTTTTCACTGCCAGAGGTCGGGGATGTCGCCAATTTCGTAAGCAGCATTTTGGTCCGAACTCTTCAAGAACTTTGACAGTTTTGGGAGAACATGGACCACATGAAGTGCATTTAGTCAACCATTATTGTCATTTGGGATGTGTCATTCATCATGCCGGAGATTTGAAAATGGAAGTCAGGAAGCGCCTTGCTGTGGCTCACCAGACTTTTTCCAAACACCGAAAGTTGCTTTTTCAAAACCCTTTGATTCCGTTGAAAAAGAGAGCCCAGATATTTCAGTGCTTGATTGGTAGCCGCCTTTTGTATGGTGCTGAAAGCTGGGTCTTGAGGGACCAGCGTACCAAAGATTTCGTGCATTCTGCTGTTATGCGTTTGTATCGGCGTTTGTTGAAACTGGCTCCCGAGATGCCTCTCCATGATGATGACATTTTGCATCAGTTGCAGCTCCCATCTCCAAGTGAATTGCTGCGAATTGCACGCCTGAGGTACATAGGTTCTCTGTTTGCCTGTAATTCGGTAGCTAGCTGGGGATTGTTAAACCAAGACCAAGAATGGATGAGTTTGATGGAAGATGATTTCACTTGGATGTATGCACAATTGAAGGATTCCTCTGACCTGCTGCCACCGCATCAGCATTTGGAGCAGTGGTTTCATATCATCAAATGGCATAGATCCTTTTGGAAAAGGCTCATCAAGAGGGCCAGTCTTCATGCAATTTTGCAACGTTCCAAGCATTGGCAGTTGGTCTGCTTTCACCGTTCAGTTTTTGATTTTCTCAATTCTCATGGAGTGTGTACTCCCTTGCCAGCTATTCCGGCCAATGATGTTGCCCAAGTTTTTGGCTGTATGGCTTGTGGAGTTCGTTGTAAATCGAAAGCAGGGGAAGGTGCTCACATGTTTCGCATGCATGGTCAGGTGTGTCCTGTTAGGCGTTTGTTTGACAGTTCGCAGTGTTTCATCTGCCTGCGGGAATTTCACACTTGTGGCAAACTGAAGCACCACCTTCTGCGCTCACATGAATGTCGAAGGAAGTGGCTTGGCGCTGCGTCCCTGGTCCCACCGGCTCCTGGCATTGGGTCCCTGGAGGAACGTAGGCTTGAAATTGACCATGATCGTTGTTTGCCACCCCTGCAAGCAGAGGGACCTGAGTTGCCCTTTCAGCGTGAGCGGGACTTTTTGGCATATGACCTTGCTCTTCATGATGACTTAGCGCTCATGATTTTGGAGCTGCCCATTGACCAGACAGTTGTTGAGGCTGTACGTGGATGTGTCTGTGAGAGACCTGTTTCATGGTCAGTTTGCTTGGCTACTCTCAAAACGCTCCTTGATGAATTTCAACAAGTTCAAGTCGATTTTGGTTCTCATGGAAAGGAAGAAATCATTACGGCACTCGAGACCTTGTGTGATCCTGATGCGTGGGATTTCTTGAAGCAGAGTGAGGCTAAACAGACTTGTAAGTTTGCTGACCTTGCCAGTATTGAAGATGCGTGCATTGACCTCTGTGATCAACAACCTCAGTTTGAGCCGGTCCCACGACAGTGGGGTCAACACAGGATTGTTTTGCACGCTTTTGCTGGTCGAAGGCGGAAAGGTGACTTCCAGTATTACCTTGACAAGATCCAAGCAGAACACCCTGAAGGTGTTACCATTCACACGGCGTCTGTGGACATCTTGTATGACTTGAAACTTGGCGATGTTGGTGACAAGCATACGCAGGAGTTTTGGTTTGGTGCCATTGACTGCCAGCTGGTGATTGGCTTCATTGGGGGCCCTCCGTGCGAAACGTGGAGTCGCGCTCGTGGTGTGCAGACTTCGGACAAGCATCATGGGCCGCGCATTGTGCGCACTGATGCTTGCCTGTGGGGCTTGGATTGCTTGAGGATCAGAGAGTTGGTGCAAGTCCTAATGGGCAACCTTTTGCTTACCTTTGCGTTTATGTGCCTCTTGCGTCTCGCACGAGTTGGTGGCATTGGCTTGCTGGAGCACCCAGCTGATCCAGAGGGTGAGGAATCTGCGGCGATCTGGCGGCTTCCGATACTTCATCTCCTGAGAGCTTTTCCGGGGTTTAGTATTTTCACCTTTTGTCAGGGTTTGCTGGGGGCACCAACACCGAAACCAACGACTGTGTTGTGTCTCAATCTTCCCAGTGTGGTTAGAAATTTGAGAGCACACCGAACCACGGTCGAGCTCCCTCGCAGGGCCTCTATAGGCAAAACTGCTGAGGGTACCTGGGCAACCTCGCGGTTGAAGGAATATCCACCGGCGCTGTGCCTCGCACTCGCCAGGACTTTTGATTTTGAGATCTGGCAGGAGCCTGTTGTGGATCACGGCACACCCCCAGATGCTTTCTTGGCCATGTGTGCTCCGTTGCTGGTACAGGAGTACTCGGATCACTTTGGTCAGGATTTTGCAGGTGGAACCTGCAAGTGACATAGAATTGATGCAAGGCCGCAGCGATTACGTTTCTGAGTGCCTTGGGAAAAAAAAATATATATATATATACATATATATATATATGGGATAATGATCAAAGTCTGGGATCAAAATTCTATGATTGTTTTTGGACCTGTTAAGTGGATTTTTATTACAGCCCATTGTGTATGGTTATTATTTTTGTAGATTCAATTAATGCTATTATCGTATTTCATATATATATATTTATGTGTGTGTTAATTGGTTTCTTTCTTATCCATTGTAGTTTATATCTCGTGTTGTGAATGTGGGGAAATTTGTGGGGATTTCTGGTGGTGCACACGAAGAATGCTGATATCTTTGAATGGGAAGAAATTGGAAAACATACTGGGAAAAAAACGGATAAACATTCTGGGAAAATATGAGTTTCCCAAAATTGTGATTGCAGGGGCGTCCCCATTTTGGGAGAATCCTATCTCAGCGCGTTGGTCTTGGGAGAATATGCTTACTGCCAGGTTTCCCTAAAACCACGATTTTTGCCACTTGACATAAGCTCACAACGGTATCTTAAGCTGATGTTAAGTTGACATGGATGTAGAAACCTAAGATGGAACTTCACAATTTTCGAATTGGGGGTTTCATTGGGTTCATTTGAATGTAATTCTTTGCCCGTTTCGTGTGGGAATTTCTGTGACAGATCCATCCGTGGTCGAAGAGTGGTGGACTGGCTATTGTGGCAGCCCAGCAACTGGGCGAGGCATGTTCCATGTTTTATTGTCTTGTTTTGATGTGGTTTATACTCCTTGATATTTGATTATATGTATGTTTATACATGTTTTTAATCATATATATGTATGTAAATACCAGTTTCTATGTATTTCTATTCATCTCCTAAGTTTTGGGATGAATCGCGATTTCCAAATTTGGTGTCTTGTTTAAACATGTTTCAGATTTTGGGATGTTGACACAACCAGTTGCAACTGATTGCACAGCCAAGGTATGCCTACAACTTCGCGACTCGCGGTCATCGTACCATGGCCATTGCACCCATGTACGACAACTACGAGGGCGCCTTCTACCAATGTCAGGGAGCCCTGGGATTGCCCGATTTGGTACAGACAGTGACAGACTGGTTCGGTTTTACCATGTTTTACCCAAAGTTTAAGGGGACCGTAACTGACACTGGGATATCCACGGGTACTAAAGAACGTCCTGGTGCAACTGTGGAATCTTCGCCATCCAGGCACCAAGAGTTTTGAACTTTTCGGTGGAGTTCATGAGGTGCCCACGGACAGTTTTTGTATGATGGGTGAACATGGTGAGGAGTTGTGGGTCGTTTTTGGTCATTGGCATTGGATTAGTTTTGCTCAATCCTACTTTTGGATCCATGACCTATGCCCGTATTCTCAATGTCTTGAAGCGACTTTTGCCGCGCCAGGTACGTTATTTTCACCACTTTCAGAGCTACGGTGAAGGTAGCTGCCCCTGGTTCGAGGTGTATTTTGCAAGTGTTTTGAGCTGAATTTCATCCGCTCAAAACATGTGAAAAACACATGGAAAAAACAGAAGCTAATGGCAGCTGATTGGATTTGGTGGAAAAAACGCTAAGAACACAGTTACAACACATCGTCTTTTCCTTGATGCAAGACCCGATCTGACCCCTCTCCAAGGCAAAGGTTGCGACTACGTCTTTGTGGACCATCCATCCTTCAGAAGGTCCCAAATCACTGGAATCACTGGAAATTTGGAAATAGTGGTCCAAAGTTTTGCCAATCTGGGAATTTGCTCGAGGCCTGGAGGGCTTTACCACAATCTCACAGACAACCAGGACAGCTATGGACAGTTTTGGCGTCAAGAAAAATGGAAAGACATGGGGATAGCCCCAATTCTGCCATTTTTTCATGGTGAAATTCGGTGATGACTGTGGGGTATCCCAGCAAATCTCTTCCGCAGGAATACTCCGACAACCTCTTCAGGCCGATTCTTGGAATTCCCATTGGAAACCATTTGCATTCCATATCATGATGATTATCATGAGTTGTTGGTACAGAATTAGAACTAGAACCATCATGAACCATCTACAATCTGCAATCGTTGTTACCCATGAAACATGTTGCGGAGAAATCCCACCGGGTCATGGCAACCCACCAATGGACCGCTCCAAACCTATCATCCGCAGTATTCCTCGTAGATAGCCATGGTTACTATTGTAGCATAGTATGGTCGTTATTATGCCATGGTAGTTAGTGGCAGTTACTATTATGTTAAATCATATATCATTATAGCATACGAAATGCCATGATGCCATGATTGTTCCACAAATAGTTGCTAGTAGAAAACCATAATAGCTATCATTGTCGTTGCCACAAGCATCATACCATGCCATCTAAATGCCATGATTCCATAGTGTGCCATCATCCAAAACAATCTGTCAATACAATTTCCGAGAAGAAACCATGGATTATATAGTTTATATGTCATACCATATCTACAATACCATGGTAACCAACTGACCATTATTACATAAATCCATCTCCATAGAAAAAGAAACATGGTATATAATGTGGTACAATGCCATAAACCATCCCCCAAATCATCACCAAATAGGTGGTATATATAAACCATTCCCAGTCATGGGTAGTTTATAACATTTTATAACCACATTAGATGGGTATATATATATACCATATATATGTTTACCATTCCCCTTGGTTTATGATATAAACATGGCATGTTCACAGATGGCGATCCGCCAGGTTCGCCCTCTTCTCTCTGGCGGCGCTGGAGGTTCCCGTTGCCATCGAGCTGGGCGGCGCGCCGCGCTACGGCGGCAAGGCGCGGACGATGGACGATGCACCGGACGATGCATCGGACAATGCATCGGGGAGATCCTAAAAAGGTGCGACACATTTGGATCTCTTCATGAGTTGTATAGAGATTTTATAGATTTTTTTGTGATTTGTTGATGGTTTTGTGAGTTTCGGTGATGTTTGATGATGTAATGATGTATTATTGGATGACTAAATGGTGATAGATGATCTATTCGTCTGGGGGATTTTTGAAAGATTCCAATTCATTCCAAATTCAACATAGCTCAAGTATTTTGGATCATTGATGTATGATGATTGATGTGGCTGAGTTTCAGTGATGAAGATATGTCACAGATATATGTGATGTTCTTGAACGGCCCACGGGTCAAACCGGACGCAGATGTTTGATAACATGAAGATGCATGGTCCAACCGCAACAACAGATATCAACATATATCAACCAGGCCTGTTGTGTTCTTCATAAATCATTTAATCATTTTCCTCTACATTTTGGGCATCCTTGTTGTGTTTTCAGGTGATGTTCATTGCCAACGACTGGCAAACTGGTTTGCTGCCGGTCTACATGGCCGGGAGACCTAAGCACCAGCACCACCAGCACCACCAGCGCCAGCCCAGTGATCTGGGAACGAGGTTCATCGGCACAGAGCCTTTGGAAACTACAACGACGCCCGCTGCATGTACGTTTGCAACCTCAGAATTGATGACATTTAAGACACATTTAAGAGATTTAAGACAATGAGACACCTTGAGAATTGATGCTTCATTGATGCTTCATTGATGCACATGAGATTGGGATGCTGGATGCTGGATTTCAACATTCATGTTCATGATATTCACAGTCTTTTCACGTGGGCACTTGACGTCAGTTTCTTTTCAGAAACTCGTCACCAGGTCATTCACAACTTGGGATACCAGGGGTGCTATCCCCTTCGACTTGGCTTGCCGGGTACTATGTGGGGGGCCAAGTTGTAGGCATTTTCTTAGGGCCAACGGCGACTCCGGGGATACGAAATGGGGCTCCAAATTTTCTCACAAAGCCATTATGGAGATGGTTTTTGATGCATATCATTGTTATCATTGGATGGAAAACATAGAATATGGAAGCATTCTCATATCCAATATAAAAAAATATATATGGAAGCGTAGAGACCTCTCACCTTTCAACATCCCATTTAAGCATCTTCATCACCACCGCTCAACTAGTTTCGGAGGCAGTACGACAACTTTGCACAGCTGGGTCTTCCCTTTGCCGCTCTGGGCGATCTGATCTACCAGTATCCCCTGCACGAGAGAACCTTCGAAGGTGATTCAGGCCAGAATGTGGATTTTCCCACAGGATTTTATGGGAGTGATGAGTGTAGATGCTGGATAAAAAACCATGAAGTTCCCAGAAATCCAGCTGGTTGATATTTTTATCGCGAAGAAATCAGAGGATTTGCGGTAAAATTTCGTTGCAGGAGAGACGCTGAATCTCACCAAGGGAGCGATCCAGTGTTGTGATCGCATCATCACGGTGTAGGACACTGAGGCTTTTCTCAGCTGTTCTTTGAAATTTTGACTGTGCTTCGGATTAAACTTCGGATGATTTGGGATTGGATTTTAATGTGCTTGCTCATCATGATTGATTCTGATCAATCGGATTGTTGTTAAAATATGATTGTTGGTTATATCAACTCTATATCATAGTTCAATGGAAACGTCCCCTTTTCGATGGGGATCTGCCTCAGGTCTCCTACCTACGCGGATGAGATCCGAACACCCGAGGGTGGCTTTCGTTTGCATGATTTTGCCCGGGAGCCAACAGGATCCATCGATTTTCTGTCGATGACCATGATTCACACAAGGTCGCTGGGAAGAGCTATTTTCTGGTGGGAATTTTGAATGGCCCAGCACTGAGCGCATGTTGTGAGAGCTTGCATTCCAGTTTTCAAAACAAATATCACTGGAAGGTCAACTGAAATTCAATTCAACCTTAGGTTTTGTCATGTTTTGTCCCTTATTCTTCCAGCTTAAAACTCTAAGTTTCCCCAAATCCTTAGTGATCCGAGGTATCGATAGCAGCTGGAATCCCACGAGGGATAGTAGCATCGCCTCGAAATTCTCCGCCGATCTCTCCGGGAAGCTGGAATGCAAACGCTACCTGCAGCGGAAGTTGGGGTTGAAGGAGACATGAGGGAACGATTGGAGTTTCAAGTTGAGAAAATCTAGACACACAATGTTTTTTTCCGGAAAAAATGTGGTGAGGACGTGGTTTACCCACGATATACATTGATGACATTGATGTTTCTTTGAAAAGGTCCAACTTCCACATCTGCCATCGTTGGTGAAACCAGGAGGACGACAACGCCTGCATCTTGAGTTTCGTCGGCCGCCTCACCAATCAGAAAGGCGCCTCGCAAAGCCTCGGATTGATGCTTAAATCTGGTAGACCGATTTCTTTGATGCTTTGGATGGGTTAAGATGCAGATGTTTGGTTCAATCACCAAGATTCAATCATTGTCTGGATGTTTTAATTTTGATCACAGCCTTTGATGTCAAACTTCAGGAACTATCAGCCGCCCCAGCAGGTATTGACTTGATTGGATCTTGCATCCATTGGATCATGGAGGAGAGATCTGAACATCGGCGTTGGCGTTGGATCGTTTGAGATTTCCAAATGTGGCAACGATCCAACATCAAAGCATGGATATATAGTATGTTTAACATCAAAACATCGAGAAATATCAAGAATATCAGGTAAGATCATCTGTATGTTATTTATTTGGTGTAATCAAATTATGGATTTCCAGCAAATCATCCACGAATTTCAACCTAGCTGAGTGAGTTCGCCATTATTCCAGGACAATAAAGATGGTCTTCAAAACGTGCAGCTGGTGATGATGGGCAATGGTGAAGAGAACTTCGGCCCGGCTGCCATTTGTTGGGTAGCTAATCCAGCTGATTTTTAATTTGATTCACAGTGAGTTTGATGAATCGGGAAAAGTTTGATGAAACTCTGAAACTGGCATTGGTGAGCTTGATGCCATGCCAGGTCGCATGTTGCAGTGGGCCGAGAGCAGTTGGAAGGGCCGCATTTGTGGCTACTGGGGCTTCAGCCCACAGGCGGATTTTTTTTCCAAACTTTCAATGTGCAAATCAGGGTGCTTTTACCCATCAAAATATACGTAGATATATGATATAATAATTATGATATATGGTTTCTGTCTTATGTAACCAACATAAACCAATATCTTTGCCAACTGTCCAACCAGGTGGAGAAGGAGATCATCGCGGGCTCCGATTTCTTCCTGATGCCATCCAGGCTGGAAAACGCTAAAGAAAAATCGGTGGAAATTTGGACCATTTGGACCATGTTCTGTTCATGTTTGAAGAAAGCTGATCATTTTTCAAGGGAACACACCTATGAGAGCATTTTGAAGTCTGCCTAACTTGAGGTATGAACCCTGTGGAATTCCACAGATGTGTCAGAAGCCAAGTTCACAAAGACCTGCACAAAACTGAGCTCCAAAATCAAGAGGCACAATCTATTGCACATGACATCTTAAAGTCATAATATGACGGAGAATCTATGAGTTATCCACTGGTAAACGTTTACAAAAAAATATGGAAAATCACCATTTTTAATGGGACAACTCACTATTTCTATGGTCATTTTCAAGTTCGCAAACTGTAAAAAGGGTGTCCACCTTCTTTTGGATTGATGTTTCACCATCCCCATCCACTGAGGCGCCATGATGTACGGCACCATCCCCATCGTCCACGCCACGGGCGGCTTGAAAGACTCCGTAAAAAGCTGGTACTCCGAGAAGGAAAGCTCCACAGGTGCGCTTGGTGCGGTGCGGTTGGTTCAACGGTCAAAAACCATGGGATGTGACGATGTGACCAACATTGAAACCACTTGAAACTGAGAAAATTTGGAAAATATGGATATAAACCATTCTAAACCACTATACACCACTCTAAAGCATTGAACATGTTCTTTTTCTCTTGGTATTTGTTTCGCAAGAGCGGAGAGATTGCATTTTGTGAATCATCCAACAGGGATTCAGCTGCGCAGGCTTCCATGTTTGGCCGCTGAACGAAGACAGTCCCTACACTCAGCACAGGATGTGACCCGACAGCTGGACATTGTGACTCTGTGACTCTCGTCCTGACACCGAGGCTTGAAAAAGGCGCAGATCTCAGTTGGCGTTGTTTGTTTTGCCTTTCAAAGATCAGATAATTTCAGATATATCATATATATAATTATATATAATTATATCATATGTATATCATCTTTTGGAATTGGTGCCAATGACTCCACCACCTCTCGAGGTGATCTTCGACGGCCTCCATTTGTATTTCCGGGAGCCCGAGGTCAGAGAAATTCCGCCGAAAAGTCTTCAGCTTTTCGATGGAACGGGGCATAACCAAACCATAACCATCATCAAAACCCAAAATTTTCCATGAATCTTTCAGTTTTCCCATCCTTTTCCCGTCCTTTTTCCATCCTTTTTCACTTCACAGAAAGGGATGTCTCTGTGCTCCAGGAGCTCCAGGAAATGCGCCGGAGAGCCATGGCCCAAGACTTCAGCTGGTCGCGGGCCATCGATGACTACGAGAGACACTTCGATTGGACCATGGCGGTGTCCTGGCGAAGATGTGGAAGGGTTGTAACTTACTGATGTGAAATTACGATGTAAATCATGTAAGTATACATGTAAATAGATGTAACTTACTGATGATGTAAATCCTGTAAATCATTGAGTTTATGTAAGCATGGTTTTCCATTGAAGTTTGGAACGTTGCAGAATCATTGGAGATTTCGATGCTCAGGATCCACCCTTCTGGGGCAGGCGAACGAAGCGATGGCATGGGCGGTGCTGAAAACGAAGATTGGTCAGTCATAGCATATAACAGGCAAGAACATCATAACCAGCATGTTGAAGGCATGTTGGGTAGTGAAATTCTTGGGAGGGAATCCCTGACATCACCAACTTGACCCATCCCCATTTGACGATGACATACTGAACATTTTTCTACGCACGATGCGTTGGCAGGTGAAAGTTGGCGAGTTTCGCGTTTTCCAACGACGACCAGTCGTCTGAAATGCGCAGCTTTTCACTTGAATTCTTTGGAACTTTTGGCAGCCCCTGGCCGTTTAAGAGCTGACTGCTCCTGCCAAAGTCAGAAAAGTTGGATGCGAAAAGATAGAAATTCACGAAAACATGTACCTGACAAACCAGCGAAGAGCTAGTCAGTCTGATGGCACATCGCTCGCATAACTCTGTTTTCTTCTAAGCATGGCAAAGGGGGCTCGTGCCGATAGGTTCACATCGACATATGTTTGAAGATGAGATGCGTACATTTCACACACCCCAGTTTCATCTCCAAACTTCTTTGAGATGGATCACTCTTTCATGAAAGCAACAAAACCAGAAGAACAACAACACCAAAAACAAGAGACACGAGAAAACACACAGAAGATCACTTCTTTTTCTTTCCAATCCATTGCATGATTACTGGATTTTCCACCAGTATCATTCTTCCTTCATTCAGGGCCTTGCGTAGGAGTTCCATTGGCGCTCCCATTTTTGTTAGGCCGTCCACCAACATGTGCTCCGTAGGAAGCCACCTGACTTCAACTCCTTCTTTTTTGACATCTCTCTTCACCAACAACATTTCAATGGCTAATCTCTTGTCTTTGATGGTCATAGTTTGGCCACGTATGTGATCAAAAGCTGGTTTGGAATCAATTGCCAAAGTCACTGGTATTCTGCTCGTCCATACTTGATCTTCTTGAAGATCATAGCCAGCAAAGTTTGCTTCACACCATAAAGATCTCATCCATTTCGCTTCAGCTATGGTTCTGGACAACGTAAGAAGTTCTGCTCCCAGGGTAGAAGCTACCTGTCTCTCTTGTTTGAAGCTTCTCCACCTCCATGGTGAAATCTGAGCCCATCTATCTTCCCTCAGATCTCGTGTGGTAGCACAAATCATGTATCCTCCTTGGCTCTTCCAGTCTTCCGCATTCGCAAACGACGCGTCCGACCATGCACAAATCTCTAGTTCCCTAGGATTTATAGGTTTGACATGAATTTCTACAGCAGCGTGATCTCGAGCCATGGAAACAACGCGATTCAGCTCCAACAAGTCTTTGACTTTTGACTTCACAACTCTCTGTTGTAACAAGGAACAGCTTGCTGCCAGATCAGGTCTAGATCCCGTCACCAACCAGTTCAACTCACCTAAGACTGCACGCATTTGACCTTTTTCTTGGTCCGTCGTGTCCATTTCTTTGTCATTTCTACGTTCTTTGGAGACATGCACACAGTCAAGCTGACATGCGTACTCTTTCTGTTGTATCACAATGCTCATGTCCCCCTTCTGAACCAAGTGCTTGCCCAGAAATTCACCAGACCCTTCCTTCACATGCTTGAGGGGATATTTCGCTTTCAAGGGTTGAAAACTTCAGCCATAAATTGTTGGTTTCCTCCAAAAATTAAGTCATCAACATGAAAAGCAATAATCCCAATAAGATTACCAACATCATCCCGTTTGTAAAACATACAACCATCCAACTCAGACGCTTTCATTCCCAAACCAACAAGAGTTTTCGAAAGAGATTCCCACCACAAACGAGGAGCATCAACCAATCCATAAACCGGTTTAATCAACTCAACCAACTCCCCATCATTCACACCCGGAATACCGTCTTTGGGGGGTTTCACCAAAATTCTTCCAGTGGGTCTTTTCAGGTCTTCACCCCTGAGAAATGCCGCTTCCACATCCGCAATCCGCAGCCGCCACCCATATGAAGACAAGACTTGGAGAGTGATGGCCAACCCTTCTGACGAGAGAGTGGGACTCGCAGTTTCAACTCTACACACATCAGGATCCAAATATCCCCTAATGCACCATCTCGCTTTCAACTTGGTATGAGGACTCCCATCTTCAGAGGTATAAACAAACCTAGATTCTAAAGTCCTGTCCCGTCCAATCACGTCCAAAATTCTGTTGGCATCAGCCCCAGTATGAACCACAACAGCCCCAGAGTCAACCATTTTGTTCCATTCTTTTCTCCTAGCGCACTCCAGCTCTTCACGTTTTTCGGGGCTAAGACTTTTGGGGTTCACCTCTTTTCTCCCTTGTTTCTTGACAGCGGCGACATACACTTCTTCAAAATGGCTGCGGTTTCCATGACATGTCTCTGCACATAACGCATCTTCTTCGGACGTTTCGACATGTGGCTGTGGTTGCGCACTACCTCTAGGCCTACCAAAGTCAAGCATGTTCACACTGTTTCTCAGGGCATTTGTGAGAGAAGAGTTACGGATCGGACCGTACCCTCCATTGTTACCCCGATTGTCATTCTGCACATGACCATCTCCAACAAGGTTTTGTGACATGTCATGTAGAGGCATCACATGTGTGTCATGACGTGGCATGTTATTTTCCCGTTCCATGTCTTGATCAGACTCACTGCTCTGGAAGGTTGTCTCCCCCTGAGAGTCAGAACTTCCAGGGTTCATTTGGTCTTGATTCATGTTCCTTCCCAGTGAGTGGTCATCATGTCTATCATGTCGATCATGGTCATCATCGTCCATGCCATCACCTTCTCCCATGTTGACATCACCATCATTATGTTCATGATTCCTCTCATCAACATTCTCATGTTCATCATGCAACACATGCTGACGCTCATGCTCCGGTGGTTTCTCACCATGATCAAGCTCAACAATGTTTCCAGCCCCTTTTTGTCTCAGAGTGGACCTCAGACTTTTCAAGTTCAGTGGCAGCCACTCTGCAAGATCCTTGATCTCTTCCTCGACATGTCTCACTTGTTCGGGTGCACAACGATAGACTTTTGACCCGTACGCAACCCATACCTTGTCAACCGACCAGGACCATGCCAGTGGTGTTTTCTCTCGTTGTTGGCTTTTCGCCAGATCACCACTTGATCACCCACTTGAAATGGTCCCCTGTTTGGTCTACTCCTATGTTGTGAAGCCCTCTTGATCCGATCTTCAGCGTCAGCATCAAGGAACGCTCTCCTTGCTTCTTGTCTAATCCTCTGGGATCGGACATGTCTTCTCTCATGATGCAACTCAGCTGATTCAACCGTTTCCACATGTTCACCTAAGAGCAGACTACCCGGAAACCTAGCTTCAACTCCAAAGACATGCTGACAAGGGGAGTACCCATCTTTTCGTGTCATCATGTTATGTGCAACACACAATTGATCACACAACTCTTCTACTTCCTCTTTGGTCTTGGGTTCCACTTCCTGCGCTGCCTTCAAAAAGGCATTCTTGAACACACACCCCGCTCTCTCGCATGTTCCATTCTGCCAAGGTGCATACGCAGCAGTTACGCTGTGTTCAGTACCATCACTGGCAAGCATGTCTGTCCATTCAGTTCCAAATTCAGGCCCTCCATCGGAGATTAGGATCCTCGGAACTCCTGCCCATCTCTTCCATGATCTTCGATAGGCTTTCCTCACCTTTTTGATTTCAATCCCCTTCCACAAGGGCACAACAACTTGAAACCTCGTGGCTAAGTCCACAACATTCAACAACTTGACCTTTCTCCAGTCCAGCTCAAGCTCAAACGTGTCAACACTTATCATGTCATTAAACTCCAGGTCTTTCAACGTCTTAGACACGTTATGACTCTTTTCCCCCATCATTTCTCTACAGGTGCTACATGTAAGACCCTTCGCAAGTTTCAAACATGTTTCACTTGCACGTGCAGCTTTCAACATGGAAACAAATCTCTGGTTTGACGGATGTCCCAAGTTTTCATGACATCTCTTGAGAATCCTCACAATTTTCTTTTCATCATCGGTTTCCAAGCTCTCAACTGTGAAGACAGAGTATGTCACCATGCTCTGTTGTCTGCTCTTCTCATCATCCTTCAACCCTTGGATCATGGCCTGCACAAGTTTGGGGGGATATGCTTGAGCCATCCTAGATCGTGTTTTCCATCCCATTTTGGTTTTCACACACCCCATGACATGTTCGTGTTCATGAGTCCTGTCACACATGGTTCTCAACCTTTTCGCAACGCTCTCACAGTTGACCATGATTCCAGTTCTTTTCCTATGGGGTTTACCCAAAACATGATCTTTCAACCCATACATGCACTGGTCCAACGTTTCCTTATACACCCTAGAATCATGCAACAGCTTTTGAACCGACGGGTCACTCCATGACTTGGCTCCTTGAGGGTGCTCGAACAAAAACAAATCCCCCCTATCCATTTGGTCTTTACACAACTCCATGGCAAACCTCAACAACATTTTCCCCTCAGACAGCTTTTGAAGGTAACCCTTAAGATTCCTCATTTTGTTCAGCTCCTGCAGTTGTGAGAAGGGACCACAAGGGGGACAGACAATGAGGAGACGAGGTCTCAGAGTTCTCAGATGCTCCCGAAGCTCTTTTCTTTTTCCCTCGACTCGCAGATCCCATCCATTCAGGATGTCGTAGGAACCACCACACTTGAGCCCGGCTTGTTGCGCAGCCTTGCACACGCGTGGTAAACTGAAAACTTCCGCCACATCGACAGATTCGTCGTTTGGATTTATAATCAGCACATCAAGTCTCTCCTTAGAGTCTTTAACCCTTCGGACTAACTCATCCAAACCCTTTTCAACTATTTCTATTTCCTCTGTCTGTACATGGCCTCTCTCATTGTTCTCACCTAGTTGGAGCTTCGGGCATGTTCTCGACGGAGCATGCGAGCCATCTTCTCGAAGTTGTCCGCTGCCTCTTTCATCTCGTGGGGTGTCATGGTCTCCTGAATCTCCTCGTGTTCCAGTTCCCATTCCTCCGTGTCCATGCTGAACTGGTTCTCCGGCTCTCCCCATCCATCTCCTTCGCGAGTGC